GCACTTCAAGAGGGATGCGGATAACCTGGAGAGGGTCCAGAGAAGGGCCACTCGTATGGTTAAGGGCTTGCAGACCAAGCCCTATGAGGAGAGACTAGAGAACCTGGACCTTTTCAGCCTCCGCAAGAGAAGGTTGAGAAGCGACCTTGTGGCTGCCTATAAGTTCCAGTGAGATACTCTGCTCCTGTGCAGGGTCTGAGGAATGAGCATGTCAGTGTGAGGGACCATGAGAGAGCATGGCAGGGATTGGGTCTAGCTCTAGGATGGGGCCCTGGAGCCTGGTCACGCTAGGCCAGAGCATGGGGTGGGAAGATGCATGGTGGAGAAAGGCAGGCACTTTGTAAGCAGAACTGATGGGGAGGGGGTTGTTTCTCCCCACTGCTGGCTGGGACAACATAGAATAGGGTTACCATATTTCCAGGTTCAAAAAATAGGGCACCTGTTGGGAGTGGGGTGGTATATGACTGTGGGGGTGGGCAGTGATGTGCTGCTGCCCTGCTCCTGTCCATGCCATTGCCCCTCACTCCCAATGCACAGACCCCCTCCCCACCCCCAGCCCTGCTGTTGTTGCTCCTTACTCCCGACCTGCAGACCACTGACCCTGCCATTACTGCTTACTCCTGACACCCCCTGAGCCATGATCGTGCCCCTCACTCCCAACCTGCAGCCCCCCGGTACTATCTCCTATCACCCCTCCCTCCGTCCTGCTCAGCTCTGCCAAGCCTGAAGCAACTCATTGCTAGGGCAAGCCAGGAAGTGCTGGGGGGGATGGGGACATTGATGCTCAACAGAGCAAAATCCCAGATATGTGTTTATATCTAAACAAAAAGAAACAAACACCTGGATGGAGATAGGAGGACTCATATCACCTGGACATATTTTTGCCTGGGATGGTCCTGATTTGAACAGTGGGTTAGACTAGGTGACCTCCTGAGGTTCCTTCCAACCCTCATTTCTATGAGTCTATATGATAACCTACCCTGGAGAATGTGCACATAAGTGCATGTGTGTGCATGCAGGGGTCCCTGTGTGCAAAGAGGGAACCTCACTATGTGCCTCTACTCTCCTTCTCCCTTGGGGGACTCAGCCTGGCTCAGGCCATGGAGATCCCCCTCCCGTCCTGGTGCTCAGAACTGGGGTCTCACTCCAAGCAGGAAAAGGGCTTGTGCTGATGCTGACAGTTTCCATCGGCATCACTGCACTGGGTATGTTCTGCAGAGAGAGTTCATGCTGGACAAGGCTGAGAGATGAGGACTCAGTACTGGGGAGATGCAGGGGAGCAGCTTGTATGAAGAAATCTGACCTGTCCAGGCCCAGCTGGACAGGGGACAGGGAAGGGAAGGGGTAGGGAAGGGGCAGGCCAGAAAGTAGCAGCACAGAAAGGGCTAACAAGAGACCTAATCATCACCTCCCTAGCTGCACTCAGCCCCAGCTGTTCCAGCAGGCTGCAGAGTCCGGCAAGCTCCTGCCCTGCAGCTGGGAGAGGAAGCTGAGGGGAGAGGTGTCTGACTCCCTGCCCTGGGCTCCAGGTTGAGGCCTCAGAGCTGAAGCCCAGGAGTGAAACCTCCCCCAGGAGCCAGACACCCCTGGGCTGGAGGCTGAGGTTCTCTCTGCATGTCCTCTCTGGTCCCGGAGAGCCTTTCTTCCCTGGGCAGTGAGAGCCTCTGGGAGCTGAGCCCTACCTGGCTCCAGGCCATGGGGTGTCTGTGTCTGCGGGATTCTGGGTGCTGCATCCAGAAAACCATCTTCTCCCAGCCCTTTCCTATGGGAGTTGATGTGGCAGGGCCAGAGCTCAGGATACTCCCTGGGAGTTAGAGCTGGGCAGTGCTGCAGGGGCAGGCAGAGCTCTGGGGTTCAGCTCCTTTCTTTGGTAGCTGCTGAACAGGGAAATGGTACAAGGAAAGAGCCAGAGACAGGCCTTAAATATCTGCTCAGAATTGGCTCTGAGCCCTGGCCTGCCCTCCTATGGAGCACTTCATGCTGTAGGATAGCTCTTCATCTGCTGGTAAAACCTTGGGGTTGAGACCCAGAGTTGACATTAACACATGGGGATGGGGCAGGCTGAGGGAGATGCACTGGAGCAAAGGCTGGGCAGGGATGTGCACCATGGGTCTCTTGGGCAGGGAAGGGGCTGCTGTCTCTGTCTGTGTCCTTGTAGCTCAGACACCAACCCCTGCCTGGTGTGAGAGAGAGCCTGGAGTCTCCCCCCTGCCCCAGCAGGCAGGTCCAGGCAAGGAGCGGGTGCACTGGGGAAGCTGCAGGGCTGGGGCTGAATCAAGAGGAACCAGGGCTGGTGGGGCTCAGCTTTGGTGTGGGACATGTCATGGAAGGAAATGGTTGGGGGTGGAAGGTAGAAATCCTCCTGCAGGGGCTGCTCTGCTCTACCAGACACCCAGGGGCCCCAATGGGACAGGTCATCCCCACGTCCCCTGGGAGGCTTTCACAACTCCCTGTGGGGCAGCAGAGCTGAACTTGGGGGAGAGGTTACCTCTCTATCCCAGCCCCTCTGCCTGTGCACAGGTGTGTGTGACTGCACAGAAAGATGAGTGTGTTTGAAATGATCCAATTTGGAGTTCAAATGGAAATGGTGGGCACAGAAACAGGGGAGCCTTTGGAAGGGGGGGGGGGGGGTGTGTGTGTGTGTGTGTGCGCGCACGCACAGGGAACTTGACTGTCCCTGCTAAACTAGCTCCATTTGGTGCACAGAACCCACTGCCCCCTTTTTGTACAGCCCTTGCCCTGTTCTGTGTCCCTGGCACAGTAATACGTGGCGGTGTCTGCAGCTGTCAGGGAGCTGAGCCACAAATAAAGCTCATTTTTGGAGGTGTCTCTGGGCAAGCTCAGGCGACTCTGCAAGGCTGAGGCATAGCTTGTGCTGCCTGCACTATTGATGTACCCCATCCACTGGAGCCCCTCTCCTGGGGGCTGCCAGATCCAGTACCACCTGGCACTGGTGA